CTGCCAATTCGGGAACGAGATAAGCTGAAGGCTTTAATTTTAAGGGAATATTCCCTACTTATGTGCTGCTCAAATTTAACTCTTCTAGTGCGACCTTTTTCGCGGGCCAGCAACTTTCCATTTGTTGGGTCACCGACGTCGACATCTACAACTGACAAACCACATAGCTGCACAATTAACTTCTCGAACTTCGAGGACCATTATGTCACAGGGTTAGGTACTGTGATTCCTTGCGATCTTGCTACGGCACGAAAAGTGCAAAAACGCATAATCGCACTGGCCCGCCTGGTGCGTTCCAGCCTGGGTTTCGTAATTGGCATTAAAAGCGAAGTGGGTAACACGTCGGAACGATGAGTGCAATAAAAAAGTAGGCTAGGATATTGCGCTGCCGGCTACTAGCAGTGCGCCAGGGACTCTCTGTTACAGGCACATCCCCTCTTCAAAATTTCAGTAATTTCTGGTCTTGGATGCTCGGCAGGTATCTGGGCCTGCTGCTGCACATGGCTATGGACAAATTTGGGCGGCTGCCTTCTGCCTTCCGGGAGCGGGAGGAGGAATAATGTGAATTCCAGTCTACGCTATTTCGAGATGGCACTTGTCCAGTTACAGATGTCCCCGACGATACAGTTCATTTCCGGTGCTGGAGATGAGAAACGGGATGCTCCGAACTACTGCTGTGGATTGCCCTGCTGCCCCTTCCGGAAGCACATCACAAGAGGGCGACCCGAGAACATATGACTTCCATAAAGAGATCGCCTCGAGCCACACCTGCGTCCCCTTCCGCACGCTTGTTTAGATGTGCAATGTCCAGGAAGGCAACATCCGTTCCATTAGGGCCGCATGGATTACCGCCTCAGTCCGGTTCTGGTTTTTCTGAGGAAAACACTGCGCAGTGATGATGCGGTGGTGCACTGCGATACAGGTTTGGGGCGCAGAGAGGAAGAAGTGAGCGCGCAGCACACGTCATCGAAATGGCGAGCGCACTTACCTCATTCATATTTGCTGAATGTCCAGTTGATCCCACACACACACACCCACACACACACACACACACACACACGCACACACACACACACGACCCGGTGATGTTAGCCACTCGCACTCGGGCTGCTGAAAATGAATGGGAGCTGGGCGCCGCAGGCGCACGCTTATATAGCCCAAACGAGGGTCACCGCCATAAAGCATGCAAATTCGCAGCATCCCCCGCCACGGCCCGCAACGAACAGAGAGAGAGAGAGAGAGCAGCCCCGGCGAGGAGCCGCACAGACAGCCGGAGCACACCACGCCGACCACGGAAGCTGCACCGATTGCTACAGCAGCAGGCCAAAACCGAGCAGCCCGTCTCAGGCCGAGCACTTCCCGCCACAAAGCACAAACCAGCCCAGCGAAGCCGACACCCTCACTCGCCGACGCCAGCCAGCCCCCTCTGGCCCTCTTCTGGTTGCCCTTCCGGACTCTTCCAGGCATCTGGCCACCCTTCCCGCCACAAAGTACAAACGACCCCAGCAACTCCATACACCTTCCCGCCACTCGCCCACTCTCCCGCCATCCTCTCCACCCCACACCTTCGTGCAACCGCGAACCGCATCACCCCATTTTCCTGCACAACCAACTCGGCCCCATTTTCCCCTACGTGCAGCTCGCCGGTGCCGAATATCCGTCATATCGGGCAGCAGTACGCTGATCATTTCGAAACTCTCTAGAAGTGCATTTTTTTTGTGCGTGCGAGTGGTGACTGTACGTGTAAGCGAGGCTGCTTGCTGAGGCACACTTCATTCTCCACGCTGTACACCGCCGGACAAGCTCAGCACAGTTGTTACGGAAAGCAACACAAAAATGAAGTGAGAAAAGCAGAAATAATAAAAATGAAAGACCACTGGCACCGGCCACGCCAATATCACCGGCGAAACGAGACCTGCCGCAGCAGGCGCACCGCACTTCCCAGACGGACGGCCGCCTGCCAACCGCCAGCAGCTACTACTACAGCGCAAAACGCCGCATTACCTACGGACAGGTGCAGCAGTAGCCCAGAAAGAAGCCAGGCGCTGCTGGCCAGCTTTCAATGCAGCGAAAGAAGCATCACAAACGAATTGGAAATAAAACAAACGAAAACATGCAGTTGGAGCAGTAAAAAGAAGAAATCAAAAACTGCACGTCGCATTAATATTACAGGCGTGTGCACGCACGCACGCACGCACGCACGCACGCACACACACACACACACACACACATACATACACATACATGCATGTCAGTTATCGCATTCCTGCACATCCCAACCATAAAGAACTACCATCACACACATACATACACGCACACACATACATACACGCACACGCATACACGCACACGCACACACACGCACACACACACACAGACACGCACACACACACACACACACACTGATAATGCAATCTTGCCCGTCCCAACTGCAAGGAACTACCATCATAACACATGGATATATGAATACACATACACAATCATTTCTCAGTGCATGTGACTGCACTCTAGTAATGTATGCACCGGATTCTGCTTGAAAAAACTGAGAAGGGAGAGAAGTGAGGGCGGCAATTGGGGGAACTCGAACGAGCTGGATAATGCCGTAAGAGGAGTAAAACAAACAGCGGCACGCACCAGGGCAGCCAGTGCGTCCACGCGGTTTGCGCAGTTCTGCCCACCGGACGTTTGCCCATCAAGAATTTTTACTGTTTTACACCTCTGTGCGTGCGAAAATACACTGAAATCTCCCACTGAAAAATCCACGCGCCGGTACTTGAAATAGTGCGGTCTTTACATCGCACTACTTATATCTTTCCGAAGTTCCAGCTTCCTAGTTCCCCGGCTTTGCACCAAAACTTTCACGTGGTCGTACGTGAGACATGGGTATATGTGGGAGCTAAATTTGAGCCTACGAGATCTTACACAGGCAGTTAAGCATAATAATGAATATTTGGCCTCCTTGCTCTACTGGTTCACGAGTTGGCAAAATTTTCCCACCAAGACTTATGCACGATCGTGGGTGGGATCTAGGCGTACCTGGAAGCTGAGTTAGAAATTTCGGAGCCGCACATGAGCAAGGAACATCCCCCCAAAGTTTCAAGCCTAGCTACCGTGATCCCCGAGATAATAATTTTCCTCTTTAAAGACTTTGTGTGTCCGCAATCGAGATTTAGGCATACATGAAAGCCGAATCCAAATTTAAAAGGTAGCACACGGGGAGATAACACTACCCTAAAATAGCAGTTTCCCAATCTTACTGGTTGAGTTGAATGCGTTGCTTTTTCACAGCACAAAACGCATAAAAATCGAGCTACGTGGTAGGCAATTCGACCGCAGTTAAACGGATCCAATCAAAGGCAAGTGCAATTTGCTCCAACGTACGAGAAAATTTCGGTGAGTGATATAGAACTGCACAGGACAAACTAGAACCCGACTCGTGAACGTCAATTCACCAGTAAAATGCATCCAATTCCCATGTACAACGGACATAATCCTAAAGCACAGGCACGTTGCCCACCACTGTTGCCGCCAAGAAAGAAGTAGAAATTGAATTGGAATGGACAAAAGAAAGTACAAAGGCGGAAGCATCGTGGGAGAATGCACTACAGTAGCAACAGCAGTAATTCATGGATAATCAGCATCAAAATCCAACAGGATCAATTTGGTGTCTTCGGTACCATTTCGCGAGCCGACAGCACAAACCAGCATTGTTGGTGTGGATTTGAGGCGCCAGATGCAGCCGCCCGATCCACCAGAACGAAGACGGACCAAGTCACGCACAAACACGCCTGAAAAAAATCGAGCGATTATCGATGCAGTGCTGCCGCATCCTTTTCAGCACAACGAAGCCAGCAGACCGACCTTCCATCACGTCCCACAGCTTCACCGAGCCATCGTCGCTGCTCGTTGCCACTAGGCCATTCTCCAAAAACTGTAAACTGGTCACAGCAGACGCATGCCGATTTGGACCAGTAAGCGTATACTTGCACTGCCCGCTCATTATATCCCAGACCTAGAACGGTTTTAGTTACTTCAATGCGTTCGCAGGCCTAACCGACCACAATTAACTGCAGTACCGCGCGCCTCAGCCATGCGTATTTCGCGCATTTGCTTCAGCTCTGTCCTTTGTTCCAGAACGGAGGGAAGAAATGCACCTCGTATATTCGGGGACTTGGTGCAAACGCAATTTGTCCTTACATCACAAATGATCCAACCATACCTTTATTGTGCTATCGGCATTGCCAGAAACAAGTGTATTGCCTCTTAGCTGCATACCCGACGTCAGTGACTGATGTCCAACCAAGGTATGTGTGCATACCCCTTCGCGAATATTCCATATTTTGATCGTTGTATCCAGACTTCCGCTCACCACTATATCTCTTTCGCTATCGAGCTGTAATTTCGTAAAAGCTGTAAAAACTGTTAAGGTAGGCAGGCAAACCCTTCACTTCCCCTCGCCGCTGCATCGCACTCCCTGTTGACAGACCGAGTGAACTGGCTTGAACAGCTACTTTTTATCAAAAATGCAAGCAAAATTAAAAAAGAGAATGGAAAATGCTCCACTTACCAGCAAGGAATAAACTCGATTAGTATGGCCATTGAGTGTGTGAAAACACCTTCCTGATTCCGCATCCCACACCTAGAACAATTCACTACCAGCATATATGGACAACAATACCAAGACCACTGTGGCGATCCATGTTAGGATGCTCAGCAGAATTATGCAAGGCCCTAAAACCCCGAGCTGCATACTCCCAGTTAGTAAATACCGCGAAACTGGCCGACTAGTCATTTCGTAGTTTCTCGCGGGTCCACTGGCTCTCGGAAAGCGAGCAACATGCCCTGCCTAGCGGATTTTACTTTTTTGTGCATTCACATTGGTATTCCTGCACTTCGCTACTGACAGAGAGTTGAAAGCTTGTACAGCTGCGAAAGGACAATTCAAATATTCTTCGCTTCACTGCTCCCTCCTTCACTCTCTCCCCCTCCCCTTCCCAATCCATTAAGAACAGCGATCGATTGTCACCGACCAAGTTCCACATCCACATGTCACAGTGATTGGGGAAAAATTCCCTCAGACACCGAATGAATTGCCTGCTAAAGAACAAGCACTTCACAGTTCAGGTTTTATCTCGTTCTATGCTTCCTTTTTCAACAGTGTTTCTGTGAATGCAGAGATAACTGAACCCGATCACTCATACCCAGGGCATTCGGCTTGTTTTGTGAGCGCTTAACAACACAGGCATTTGCAACCTTGGTCAATATTCACCAACACAGCCCAACTGTTTTCCTGCAGTCTGTCGCGTCATTTCCTATCTGCTGACTTTTAGGAGCTTACTACGCCGATTTACCGCGAACAGTACCTTCCCTTCGAGAGAGAGAGAGGGAAGAAAAACCCGTGCTCCAGTGCCCCTCTCGAAAGAGGATGCCATAGAGAGCATTACCAACAGGTGGTTTCTGCTGCCAATCCAGTTGCTTCTGCATGCCTCCTTTCTCTCATAAGGATACGGAGGGGATTTTGACCTTCTGAACATGACCAAGGAATGTACGAAATGTTCTGCCTGATATTGCACCCCACAATTAAATCAATCAGAGCACATACCGTGCTAAATTATCGGAACCAATGGAAACAGAAATCTCTGTAAATGAACTATGCAATAACCACAAACTTTAACGGAGAAGTCGTAAGCTCCAGAGACAATGCGCAAGCCATCGAACTGCACGCAACGCACAGCAGCAATGTGTCCCTGCAGGACACGCAGACAGGCACCCGTTTTAATATTCCACAAGCGCAATGTTGTGTCACGAGATCCTGTCACAAGCCTAAAAAAGAAAAAAAAAATCATTCGCCATGTTTCAGTTATGCCGAGAATCCCGTATGATGCGCTACAAAACTAATGGAGCAGCTGTCTTACGATGGACTTTGTGGTGCGTTCTCTTTGGCATAACAGGAGCCATGAAAGGGGGGTGGGGAATTCTTAGCAGTCGAGCTGAAAGAGCGTAAAAGCGGAGGGAAAAAGATGAGATATTTTGCCTTTCCCTCTATCGCTGGAAAATAGAAAGCCAGACTGCCACACTAGGGTGGAATGAGAGCTACACAAGTTTGAAAATTAAATTGAAAAAATACACATACACATTGGCTTTGAGTATCATACAGCGAACAGTGCTTGTATGGCCCTGCAAGCAGTGCAAACACT